AACCTATCTTCATACAACAGCCTTTCTATCCCAGGTACCAGTAGCCAGAAATGAAGTCACAGGAAAAAGTCACAAATTTTTTAATACTTAAATACAGTGTAAAGTAATACAACAAAAAACATTAAGTTTGTTATTTATTGCAATAATAACATGATATGTAACATTATATGAAAAGCACATGACATACAGAACATTAATAACACAACTTACATAACTGTTATACAAGGAGATATATATAAAAGTAAATGTGGAACAAGGCTACTTGCCTGACTTATACTACATGAAGAACATAGCTTTACATCTGACCTGAGGAACGTAGTGCCTAACCTGATCTCACATGAGAACAGTCTGGATTATGACCTTGAATAGGTCCTCTTACATTTCATACGTTATATACTGATTTTACTAACACATTATCTAATCTAAGCATTTGTCATGCTTTTTGATCAACCAGCAATCTACATACAGTCTGTTAACTTGACAAGTGTATTTATCTATAATACAGTCAGGCATATACGAGGTCAATCATCATATGAATGAGTGGAATCAGTCAATAACTTAAATTCTATGAACTTAAAAACTTATAAGCGTAAATTTTCAAATTGTGATTTTTTTCTCTACATTCTAGGTACTATCCTAGTAGCCCTCCTCTGAACATTTTCTCAACACTTCAATCTCCTTCATGAGGTATAGAATCTGAGACAGAACAATACTCCAAAGAATAGGGGCCTAACCAGTGACTTACGTAATGAAAGTATAGTCTGTTTAGGCTTGTATTCAGTATTTCTGTAGATATAACCTAAAATTGTATTTTCCCTACCATTATTAACAGCACACTGCTTGGATGGCTCAAGAAACTGAAAATAAGAAGACAATAATTCAGCTCATACAAAAATGTATCCAGTTGTTTAAAGGAATGTTTATCATTCCCTACATTTAAAAAGAAAGAAATAATAAAATACAACTAAAAGTATATTCCATCTCTTATAAAGAAAATGACCAGCTACATGAAGACAGCATTCATTGGTTGGAATGCACAGTATGTTTGAGATGGATACATGCTACCAGTACCAGTGATGTATAAGTGAAAGATAAGAAAACTATAAATGTTCAATGTGCAGGGTAAAGGCTTAGACGAATCAGTTATTAATTAACTGTTTTATACATAATTCCTTATATAGTTCTATTCCAAGAGCATTTGTGTTGTTAAGCAGAGCAGGTTGGATTTTCATGCATGAATTGTGGTTTTCTTTTATGAAGATTCTGTTTTATGTAATAAATCAAACAGTAATTATCAAATAACCATAAAATATACCTGATTAATGTCAAACATGATCATTTATATGCAGTTATTAAATTTTTGTACACAACATCTTGAAATAAAATTTTAATAATACTGTAATGAAAGTGTAATTATCACTGTTTAGTAACATTTGTTTGAGAGAAAAAGATCAAATTAGCATCATTAACTTATAAAGTACCTGTATTAGATTACACAGCTTTTATTTAGTAATAAAAAGTGGTCACAATGGACAATAAACTCTGATTGTAATAAGGTCTACTAAATGTGAATTGCATGACAATTAGTTATTTTTAATTCATTAATATTGATGAATGTATGATACAATCTGTTTTAAAAATGCAAAGGCATTACAGATGTTACCTGAAATGTTGAACACTGCATTGTAGAAATAAAAGGAAGGGATTTATCTTCATGCTTGCTGTTTGTTATTAAGCATAAAGCTATACAATGGGCTGTCTGTGCTGTGTCCACCATTTGTATCAAAACCTAGTTTCTAGAGTTACAAGTCCACAAACTTACCACTATACCACCGGGGAGCTTATCTTCTTCTATGTAACATAAAATTTTCTTTTCATTGGAGTCTAAAATTAATAATAAAACACATTGATGTTGTAATTATTTAAAACTTAATTGTTAAAATATGTCTCTCTCTCTCTCTTTTATTTTTTATCATTATTTTTTTAGTATTTATTGCACACAAGGTTTTGAATATAATACGTTTATTTCTACATCTATTTGATTTGGTTAAAATTAGTAAGATTAATATCACCTATAGACAACTTTTCTTAAAAGCTAGTCTCTAAACTAAAAAGAAAAAAAAGCCTGATTTTGCAAATGAATATGGTCAATTAAATTCAACAGTTATTTTTTTTCGAGCAAGATATTAGCCAAATGAGGGCGCTCATTCAAATTTTACACGTCACTATAGAGCTCTATTAAGTATGTTATTCTGAGCCAATCGGAGGCTGGATGACGCATGTCGCTGTCCCTGTGGTAATAGCAACTACGTAACTCCCTCTATATATCTATGAAAACTTTTGAGTTCTACGACCTAATCACGACAGTATGATAAGCCTAACGATTTAGTATTAAGCCTAATTTCGTAACTTAGGTGCACTGCAATAAGAAAACCTAAAAATATCCAACCAATTAACATAAGGTTTATTAATAGCAAGTTTACCCTTCTTTTGCAGGTAAACGTTATAATCTACAAGTACAAATATTTCTAAATTCCCAAAACTATTCCGTCTGTTCTGAACAGCTGTCCTTATAACTATAAGTATATAGTAGTTACCATACGCCCCATTTCCAGAGACGACAGACCCCAAATAGATGTTTTCCCCGGGAGAAAAATGACCCGAGTAAAAAAAAAAAATCACACTGAAAATGAAATATCTTTAATATCATTTCTGATAATTGCGAAATCTGCAGCAGAAATGCACTAGAAATATTAACCAGTTACTATTATTAATATTAGCTTATATAAGGGATGAAATTCTGTCGGTAGTCACCGGTACTATGTACCGTAACTTATTTTCTAATTCGGAACTAGTACCGGGAGTTATTTGAGATGTTTTGTCGTTTTTTTTTTATGCTTACACGTAGACTTTTCTTTTTCAAAAACAGGTCTACTTTACCAATCTGAGTACCTCTATTTTTTGAGAATTTCATCCCTGGCTTATATAACATTTTCTTATGCGTTTTTAGGACAATGATATTTTAAATAGATACTTAGAATTAGATACACTCATCATAGCAATAGAGTTGAACTAACAGTAATACAGCAAGCTTTTCCAGTACTACCTGCATATGGAATTATGGCGACTAAAGGTACATTTAATATATACAAGTGTCCACGGTTTTGGTTTACAAAATACGGTCACCTACTAAAAGTTCAAGGTGAGTATAGGTTGAAAATACGCACCAAAATACTTAATACAAAGAATTAGCCATACATAATATTACACAATTATTGAAAGTAGAAGAACGTATTACGCATGTGCTAAGAATCAATTTCGTTATAAATAAATAGTGAAAACCAAGGAAAATGTTATGCTTTTTTTTTGGGGGGGGGGGGATTTAACAATGATATTACAAGTGAAACAAACAAAATGCGAAATAAGTAGTGAAATTCCATCAAAATAGAGCAAAAGTGTTGAGACCAAAACATAATATTACTCGAGTTTTATAGCCAATCAAAATATTACACAAGAGACTCGGTCATATTATTACAAAAAACAAACTAAACAATTCATAGCAAAAGTACTGAAACACAACCATAATATTACACAAGTACTGAAACCTTAAATGTATTACAAAATACTGAGATTTAAACTAAATCACAAATAACGAAATCTAAACAAACCATTTCGTTTTCACTCAGCCTGAATCTCTTACACACCGTGTGTTCTTATATTTTGATAAATCTTGAAAGGTTGTATTGTATTTAACTATTATGCTCACTGTTTAAGTAAATCCGCCTTTGAGTGCTTTGTTGTTTATATTACCATGCGGGTTAATAAATTACATTCCCTCTGTGATAAGCTTTTCTAATTATTTACATCACTAAAAAAGTATTACGTGTTAAAACTGTTCTTGCTGTAGCAGGTGTAAATAGCGAAAAAAAAGATTTCCCGAGAACAATGACCGTATTTAGTTTTTGGCTGTTCTGAAGAAAAAGTACTTGATTATCAAAGATCTAATAAATAGCTATAGTGGAGGCGGGATGAAAATGTTTATTTCAAGATCCAATTTTAATTTTAGAGATGTAGTGTTCAACTTCTCATATTATTCTTTATAAATTTTATATTACACTACTTGCTTCTCTTTAGCGCAAAGCTACATAATGGGCTATCTGCGCTCTATTTACTGTGTGGAATCGAACCCCTGATTTTAGTATGTAGTTTCTTTAAACTTACTGTTGACCTTCTGGGTGGGAGGATTCTACATGTTTATTAATAAAACAGCAGGTTATTCTAGAAAATTGTTCAGTGGTTTTGTTTATTTTCTTATGTAGCTAAAAATGTCTCCAGGTGGGTCAGCGGTAAGTTTACGGAATTACAATACTAAAATCTAGGGTTTGATTCCCAGCAGAAGATAGAGTACAAGAAACCCATTGTGTAGCTTTACGCTAAAACAACAATTAACTAAAAATGGAAAGTGGTTCTATTTATGTATGATAAGGTTCCATGTTTTTACAGTAAATTCAAAATCTTTTTAGATTCAAGATCATAAGTATTACTCTTAGTTACTCTACAGTGACAACAACAAGTACAGAGTAAAACTTGAACAGTTTAACTACACAGTACTGTAAAATTTTCATTAAAAAAAACAACAAAAATATGTCGTACTTTTAATTATACAATGTATATATATATATATATATATACATATACAAATTATTATTTACATCTTTGTATTTAGTTCATTTGAAGACACTAATACTTGTTTCTATTAAGATAATAAAACTTACCCTTATACCAGTACTTTTTATTTTTTAGCCTACATACCACGACCGAAATATCACAGTTGGAAAGTCATTTCAATTTCCTGGACTGTCAGATAATTTCATAAACATTTAAATAAACTACTCTATGCAGAACTTCCGAATACATAGGTTCAATATAATTCAAACCTTCATTGAGTAATAGACAATTCCTTTAGCTGCTGAATCCCGTTTTTTGTCACTGGCTGTTACCTTTTGATATAACGAATCAGATGATACTCTTGGAGAAGAGCTTGCACCCTCAGGTGTCCCTCGCTCATCCTTTGGCATCAAGTATTTAGTGATGTTAGCTTTGTGGCGAAGCGACAGTTTAGAAGAACACACGCTGAACCATTTCTGACCTTCTTTTTTGTCTTTACTCCTGGCATGTGCTCTTCTACTTTCACTGGCGGCAGTTTTGGCAGTTTTTCGCAATAGTATTTTCCATGCTGGCCCTCCATGAAGAATACCAGCCCCACCTCTAGCACCCTCTTCCCTTGTTCCTGAAGGCTGAGCTGATGTAGACTTTTGACTGTTTAAAATTTGCTTCAGCTTTCCATGTCCCACTTCTGTACCTGGCCAGGTCATGTGACTTCCAGCACATTGGGAACTTGCAAGAGAGTGAGGCCGAAGCTGAGTCTGCATCTGTTGAATTATTTCATTTGTTGATCCAAAACGTGTTCGAATGCCTCTTACTGAAGGTCTCCTAGCAAACCCAAAGGTTGGGTCCTCATTTTCAGCTAGACTGTATCGTTTCCGAATACGTTCAATGCGATCCAAATCTTGTTTTACGAACTGAGCCAGTTCTTCCAGACTGGTGGAATGTTTTTCTATATGGCTACTGTGTGTTTCTACCCAGGAACTGGGCCGATTTAGAATGTTCAAAACTCTTTTATCACTTCTCTGGTCCAGCCCCATCTTATTAGTCTTTTGCTTCAATAATGGTTGATTGTTTGAGTTTGCAGCTTGAGGGGTTAAAGATTCAGAATGCCCTGGGATATAAGCTATACTTGCTGGTCGTTGGAACATTTTACCCTGAAGAAATCTCTTTTCCCAATCCTTTCCAAATGAGGTGGGTCGTTTGACTGTTTTTTGAAGAGATGTTGGACTGCTAACTTGTTGTGTTAAACATGTTATCACTCCAGTAGACAGAGAAACAGTACTATCTGTCCTAGAAATTCCAAGGGAGTTTGGTATTGAGGCAAGGAACCCTTTCGTATTGTCTGTCCTAGGAGTTTCTAATGTATCATCTTGAGATGATTTTGGAAGTGTTTGTCCCTGGGATTGAACAAGTTCTGTTTCTAAATCTTCTTCAGTCTCTTCTTCAGAGTCCACTGCAGTTAACCAGCGAAGTCTTTCCATTAAAGTGGAATCACTCTGTGTTGGAGACCGCAAGCGCCCCTTGGAAGGTGGATTCCGCCTCCTCACTTCAGCTGATGTCATCAGACGTCGTCGCAAAGCATTCATCTCGATAATCCTTCGGATTTGGGAGTTCTTCCGTAAAACTCCTGATACCTCATATGGATCCATCCAGTCACTGGGACTAGTAATGTCTCCAGCTGACTCTAAAAAAGAGCTGTCGCCATCTGAGTGGGCTTTTTTAAGGAGGTTGTAGCCAGGAACGACAATGGCTGTGTCTTGTGAAGAGATACCAGAGTCACTGTCTGTTTCTTGGTTGAGTGTATTCATAGACATCAGTTCGTCCAGAGATTCTACACCATCGTCCTCAATTCTTATGATTTCACTGTACAAGAGCCCAGACTTACCTCCCTGACTCTTGGTATCTGTTGCTTCAAGAGATTCTTGTTTTTTTGTTTCTGTAAGTTCAGGGGTTTCATGGTCAGAAGTAACTTTGACATCTACATCATGCTCTGATTCTTCTAAAACCATGTCACGTGTAGATTCAGGTCGTTTATTCTCAATTTCAACTATAAAATCTTCTTGTTTACCCTGACTTGGTGTCACTTCCAGGGCATTTCTATCTGTGACAGAATCCTCTAAAATATTTCCACCTACCTCTTCGTCATCTGATGTTCCTTCATCTATTTGGTCACTATCATGCCACATTTTTGTTTCAGCCCCATTACTTGGGTCAGAGGTAAATGCAGTGACTTCAAATACAGCATCTGGAAACTCCATTTGCAAGAGAAATGCAAGGTCATCCGCAGGGTCACGATACTCAGCTGGGGGTTCAAAGTTTAGCCAATCTTGATACTCTGGTGGAGGATCGTACATCAAACACATTTCTGCTAGAGTGAGGTCAGTGACTCTCATGGCTGTGATTTGTGGCTCATCAAAGTCTTCAGAAAAAACCTTCATAGTTTCACTGAACTTTACTCTACGACCCGTGTTTTTATGTATTAAACTCGGGCCCTTTTTCAAGATAGATTTGGGTAATTTTTGTATTGTTTTAAATGAACCTTGATCAGCATGTTCCTGAAGTTGTCCAGAATTTGTAGTGTCAATCACGCCTGCTGATTCTGATTGATTTAATTCTATAGACTCTTTCACATACGTAGTTGGAACCTGGCTGAAACCATCTTCCAGTAACTGAAGAAATAAGGCTTGCTCTTCTAGATCAGTTCCACGTGGATCACTATCATCAATATTAACGAAAACGTCACCAGTATACGTTGGATCATCACCCTCAGCACTTACAGGATGTTTGTCTCCATATTCAGAATCACTACTTGCAAAAACGTTATTATGACACTTGAGGTTAACTTCTTCAACACTAACGTTTATTTTATTATCATCATCAGAACTATAGAAGTTAACATTATCGTTAGTTTTAATTTTATCATTATGAGATTTAGAATCAGAACTTTGAACACTCACAGCAGGATGATCGCAAGACGCAGGATAACTATTCTGGACAGTTGCAGGAGGGTCACTTCCTTTAACATAATGGTCATCAAGTCCATTATCTTCTCTAGGAGAACTAGAAGCAGGAGTGATTTGTATTTCATGAAGATGTTCTTCTTCTTTATCCTCGCTATGGGCAACGGTGAGCTCTGTCGTCACCCCTTCTGTTTCGTTATTATTAGACATTAGGTTTTCACGTGGCGGGTTATTAAAGCTTCCTAAAAACCTGTCTTCTCACAGCCGTATCTTGTAGCATGCGCTGCCTCAGCATCTTTCACTAACGACAGAGTATGGTGTAGGAGAAGAACGGAAAGGACGGTATGTTTTGTCATCGATCCGTAGCTGCGTGGCGCTTATGGCAGTGCTCCTGTTCACTGTTGTCGAGGGTGTGTCACGAATATTTAACGAGGGTCCAGTCATTTCTGAAAGTCAAAGTTCTAGTGTCCACATGGTGGATAAAATAGTTTTGTTTTCGTTTTCTAGATCTGACTGAAGTCTTATGAGATAAAATTTTCTCTCTCGGTCAAATACTGTGCATAAAAACACCTATTATGCATACTGTTCATATTTAAATTTTAACTGAGTCTACTCAACACGCTCTATCATATTCAGAAAATTATATTTTTCTGTCTTATGGCATACCCTCACTTAGTCACATATTTACTATCGCTAACAAACTGTCTCGCCTTATGCCACGTGAATTTGAGAAAAGTAGTCATGGAAACAGACAGCCAAATAGCGTTTGAGGCTTATGCTAGTGTACTGGTTTCCACCTTGTTTCACGCACGGTAATTCTTATCAGTAGCCAGCTCTTCCAGCTTTGTCTACTATGACGTGGTTGCCATAGAAACATCCTGAAAAATGACACCTTGATAACCCAGAGCATAAGAAGCTGTGGTTTGAACAGCTGTAGTTAAGGAAACAACTATTTTGTTCAAAAAAAAATCAATACAGCTTTCTTAACATTCACAAAGTATTTATGCTCCCCTGAGGTCATATTAATAACTGCAGATATCTAGCCGATACGGTCTCCCGACGCATGACCAGTAGGTAACAGCTGGGCTAAACATCTTACTGTGAAAATCAGTTAAGCAAAGAAACAATTTCCACTTGTTTTTAAAATTAGTTAAGGTAATGTTTCTAAGAGATACATTATAATACATGATATAGATACAATTCATATTCATGAATAAACCAGCTATTTCTTAATCATATAACAATACATCATACTCAACCAAACTATATTTCGTTACTCCGTCATATTCTGTTTGCAGCTTTAGAAACCAAATTTGAACCAATAATATTGTCTTAACTTTCAGTCATGTTATGTCGTTTCATATTATTATCTAGTCTCTGAGCTTAACTTGTTTTTTCTCTAGTTTTATAAAATAATTCTTACGCCTACCATGAGCACTATTTTTATATACTGAATTAATATACATCGCTAGAACGAATATTAAAATTCCATGAAATGTGGACTGACTATCCATTCAGGACTATTTTCGAAATGTACTGACAGTTTGTTACTAACTCAATTAAAAGTAAATAGTGAATATAATTAAATCGCTATGAAGCTAACTGTCTATAAAATGAAATCTCTAACCGTAAACTGTATACACTATTAAATTACCAATAGTAGACTGTTTACGCAATAAAATAATTAAAAAATTAACTGCTATACAACGAAATAACTAAATAGCAGATTGTGATCACAGCGAATTAATTAAATATTCAATTGTCTATGCAATAAAATCGCTAATATTATACTGTATAATTTATAAGGTTTGTTTATTTGTAGTTAAGCACAAAGCTACACACAGGGCTATCTGTGTTCTGCACTCCATAGGTATCGAAACCAGGTTCCTAGCGTTTACTGTATACACAGTGAAATCAATAAATAGTAGATTGCCTTTACAATGGAATCGAAAATAGTGTTTGCACAATCACATAAATAAATAATATTTTTTTGGTTTTCCACTCTTGGTAAAGATATGAAGAAGTCACAACTTTTCAGTACATTTTATTTCTGAAAAATTTGTTCATTTGTGCGACGTTCCGATCATAGGTGCGATTATTGTGAAGTACACAAAGCGTAGGCTAAAACATAACGTATTTTTATATATTACATAATGATCTATCAATGAACAATTAGTTGTTCTATATAATTTTTAATCGCCTGTAAGTTAAATGCTTTACTTTTTTCTTTATGTGTGTGTGTGTGTGTGTAGCAGGAGTTTGGTTAGGTTGAAAATAATCTGAGGAAATGGTAATTAAAAAAGATATATACACAGGAATGCCTGGGTGTTTGTTGAAAGTACATTTTTTAATTTTATTTAGTATAATTTCCCTGATTCTTCTGGTTCATGTTTCATTATTATAGTTGTTTTTACCTATGTGTTTATTCATTAGATAGAGTGCTTTTTTTTATCACTGTGTGTAATTTGTGTCCCATTTTACCTATTTAAAAGACCAGACATCTGTTGCGTCATATTTTGTAAACTTTCTGGAGGTTTGGGTTCGATGTATTTGATTTTTCTTTCTGGAGTGAACAGGAACCTAGTTGTTATGCCGTCATGATTTCATGTTAACTTTTATCAGACTTCTATAAGGGATATTCTAACATTTTATACAAAAGGACTCGTGCTTCCAGTTAGGTTCGGTGGGTTTGGTTATTTTTATTTTGTCTGTCTGTTAATATCGGCTTATATGTGTTTTTTAAATCAATTTACTGTTTGTATAACAACTTTAGAAAGGAATTGGTTAATGTTAGTAAAACATTGGATTAAGTGTGTGATTTATTTGTCAATGCCGTTGGTGTTGCATGTGGTATATGTTAAATTTAGACCTTTTAGTGTGCTAAATATTTTGGTGAATTGTATGGTTTGAAAACCAATTTATGTAGTTTCCACTATACATACATTTTTATGGGGGTGGGGGGATTTTTGTGTTGAAACTTTAGCGTACTTGTGTGATGTTTACATTTAGAAAATGTATTGTGAAGTTATTTTCACCTTCCATCAGCGAATTGTCTCCCTTTATGTGTTGGAAAGAATAATGTTTGTTCATTTTTGTTTTTAAAATCACAACAAACATCGTCTACATATAGAAAACAAAACGAACGCTTGAATTAAGGATGTATTGTTTATATGATGGTGGCTAATTTACCTGAATAGGGTATTATCATATTATTATAAATCTTTGTAGCGAAAGCAAATTATAGCAAGTTGTAAGAGTTCGACTTTAGTGTTCGTGTTTTACATTAATCTCTTTATTGGGCCTTATGAAATATTTTTTGATAAACACCATTTCTTCAGAAATCAATAAATAGTAAATTGTCTCTACAACAGAAAAATAAAAAATAGAATGTACACACAATGAAATAAAGAATAGTAGATTGTATACACAACGGAATCAATAAATAATAGATTATATAATTAAATAAATAAATGATAGACTATTTATACAATGAAATCAATAATTTGTAAGCAATGTACATAAACCAATTTACTAAATATTTAACTGTTATCAATAAAATTGTTGAATAATTATCACTCAGCACATTGAAATCAATAAATAATATATTGCATATATATAACAAAATCATATATATATAAGAGATTGTCTATAAAATGAAAAGTAGATTGCCTCAACAGTAATATTAAAATAAAGTATGTTGTTTACAAACTAAACAATAAGTATCAGACTATCTAAATAATCAGTTTATTAAATAGTTAACTGTTTATTGAAATAAACTGCTAAAAAGTTAGGTACGTAGTGGATACACGATCTGCACAAGTCACTAAATAGTCGTATATTTGAAAACATCAATGTGAAGCCCACTCTACCACTCAATTTACCACATAAGATGGTAAGTGGTAAATTGAATGATAGATTGGGCTTCACATTGATGTTTTAGCATCTTAAACAGTTTGTCAGCTGAATAATTCACAAGGATAAGTTGGTAGCATCAATGCTGTATTTTCTAGAGATTTTATAAATATAAAATTATTCCAAAACTATATGAAGTTTAGTCATATTCTTTTTATTAGCCCTTGTCCAAATTGCTGATGAGGGATAGAATCTCCCGAAACCGGTATAACTCATTAACAAGTGGTAAATATAGTGGTAGATTGGCTTCACATTTATTTTATAGTATTATAAACAGCTTGTCTGGCTGTTTAATTCACAATAATAGATTAATATCATTATTAACGGTATATATTCTTACAATTCTTATATAAATATAGGATTATTATGTGAGTAGAAGACATTTCAAAACAGTACATATATGAATAGTATACTGTTTATACAGTGACGGAAATAAACTGAACTTTCAAAACAAAGGAATCAATAAACAGTATAGTGTTTACACTAACAATTAATATACAGTAGACAAATAAATAAGTCTGTCTAAATAATGAAATTACTACACAGTAGTGTCCATGCAGTAAACGCGTAAATAGTTAAAGGTGTGAAAAGTGATATAACTCAATTGAAGCCCGTCTACACAAAGTAATCAATAAGTTTAAACTCTCTGTACGAAAGAATCAATAAAATAGTAAAATATTTAAACAAAATGTCAATAAATAGCAGGCTGTATACACAATGAAATCAAGAAATGGTAGACTGTTTAAACAATACAACAAAATCACTGAAATGAAACCATTAGTGGTCAGATTACATATAGGAACAAATAAATAATAGACTATGTACACAATGAAACTAATAAATTGTATACTTTGTTTAATAGTTTCCAAGCACTTGAGTAAATAAATAGTAGAGTATCTATGCAATAAAATAAATATATAGTAGACTGTGTACACGAATAAATAAATACAATGAAAACACAGTACTAGATTGTATACACAAAGAATTTAATACAATTAAGTTAATGAATAGTAAGCTGTCTATAAATCGGAATTAAAATGAGCTACTTAAACACTAGGTTAATTAAGTGATGAACTGTCTAATTAACTAAAACAGTAATTCATACACTTTCGTAGGTATCATTTAAAATTCTTTATGCTTCAACCAGCTGCTTCATTTGATTTTTATAGATTAAATAACCCTAAGCTGGATATCTGTACGTAATAACAATAATACATATTTTGGGGCCACTAAAATAATTTGCAAATGCACTGTTGAGATTCACCCAGACTCGTGCTGCCCTTAGTACTTCTTCCATCGTGGACGTGTTCGGTTTGATTACACCTGACCTTGTAATTTCCTTTATAAAAAACTTCCACGAAAGACGGCTATATAGCATTCAACTTACTCTGCCTTGTACCTGGACGTTGGCTTTCATGACCATGTGTGTTTAATTAGCAGATCAAAAGCAAAATTTCACTAGAATTGCATTGGAGGACATGACAGTTATGTGGTCTAAGGGGATTGTTGTGACTCTAGTTTCTTCGACAATATTCCTCTTAAAAACAATGTTTGATTCCGAAGTATGCAT